TCAAGAGTTGGTGCAATTCCTGAAACTGGCCTCCTGTGTCCAACAGTAATTAGTAGACCCCGTGGGTCGTTGTCCCCCAGTGATTCCTGAGTCCCTTCTATGTTTCCATATCTATGAAATGGCAGAATCCAGAATTCCTATAGACTTTCCCTCATAAGCTCTTCTTCTTGTGCTCCCTCCTAGCATTGTAAAGGAATGTTGTGAAATTCAGTTCATTCCCACTGAGTTCTGAATGCACAACTGAGAACAGATGCAGTCGCCCAAATCAACAGGAAAGTCTTGCAGATGGGGCCTTCTTAATCTATGGGAACGTTTCCAACAATTTCCAAAGAAGGCCATTGGTTATAGGATCAACTGGAAATATCATGCCAGCTAGATTTTTGTTCCATGCCAGGAAGGAAAAAGAAAAATGTGCCTTTACATATATACACACATACCTGTATCTATATGTGTACATATATACTTTTTTAAATAATATTTTTGTCCCCAATTACATGTTAAGACAATTTTTAACATTTGGGTTTTTTTTTAAGTTTTGGGTTCCAAATTCTATCCCTCCCTCCTTCCCCTCCCTCCTCCCTGAGATGGTAATAATAACTTTTTAATCAATTCAATATGGTCTACTCCAAGTCAAGTCTTTATTGAGCATTTACTGTATACCCAGACCTGCTTTACTAGTTGCCAGCATGCAAGATACAAAAAAAAAAAAGGCATTTTTCTTTCTCTTAAGGAACTTATATTCTACTTAAGAAGGTATTATTAACAGATACATGAAAGACTTAAAATAATAGCAAAATATGATTAATACCACATCCCATGCATACATATGCACATATATTGCATCTTGTAGCAAATATGGAGTTACAAATGGACAAACATATACACATACTGTACATATATAAACATACAGATAAAAGCATACCTTGTTGAAGCCCACAAACTGAAGAAATTTTTTGTGGTAGATGAGAGTATGGAACCAGGTGTCCTTAATTAAGAAATAGCTGTGTATTCCTCAGTGCATTTGCTCCTATGCACTGAATCCCCATGTGTCAGGTCCATACAATGTAATGTGTTCAGTGTTGTTAAATTTGCTGAGAGAACCCAGGGCACTTTACCAGCACCCACATACCTTGGGGTGTATAGTCCTGACCTATTGAATCTTGTGTTAACCTTCTCTAAATTCCAACTTGCTTTAAGCCTATAAATAGTAGCACCACCACCACCACCACAACATCTCACCAAGACAGAGCAAGCTACTCAGATATTCTAGAAGGCATCCTAGCAGCGGTGGGGAACCTGTGGCCTATGGGGAATGACAGGTAGCAGAAGAAGCCAGAGGAAATGGAGGCGGGCAAATTTAAGTAAAGATTAAAAGTACTACAGCCATGTGGGCACTGCATGGAACTGGTTTGTCCTCCAATCTCCTCTTACCCTTCTCTACAATGACTTGGAAGTCACAAGTCAGATCTCAAGGTCAATACTCTTCCTACAGGAAGAGGGATGGCACTGACATTCTCTGTGATGAGGCAGATAGTGACAAGAGATTGATTTTAAAATGTCAATAGACAGTAGTATTCGGGGGGAAATAATTCAAAAGGAATCAAACAATGGACAAGCATATATAAAATCCTTAGTATGTGACAGCCACTGTTCTGTGTGCTGGGGATATGAATACAAAGAATGAAATAATCTCTCCTCTCAAGGAGCTTCTATACTAACAGAATCAGTATTTAGCCCTGAAATGGCATATCCAACCAAGAATTAACTGTTTGAAGGAAAAGACCAGAAATTAACTATTTGCAAAACTCCTACTTGGGAATCTATGGACCATATGAAATCTTTCCATTTGGGGCAAAAGTATTCACTCCAGTTGAAAGATACACTCCATCACTCTCTGTATCTCAATTTTTCTCATGAGTTAAATAGAGATAAAAATCCCTGTCCACTGAGAAGATTGCCCTTAAAAGTCAAAGCATTCATAAAAAATATGAAATACTCTACAAATGTAATATGTTATTTCTGTTATATGGTGGTTGACATGATAAGAATGAGTTTGTTTCAGGGAAAAGATTAATGATGGTCAGTGCTTTGGAGGAGGTGCCAAGTAGGAATGAGTTTAATTTCTAGAGAGTGAAGGTCTGGGGAATACTTTTATTTTTTATTAAAGTGTGAACCCAGATGTCGCCAACTTATCTCCCAGAATGCCAAGAGTTCAAAAAACACTGGTTTTGGAGTCAGAGGATCTGGGTTCACGTCCTACCTCTGATATTTACTATCTTTATGACCCCAGGCTGGGCAAGTCACTCCCTAGACCTCAATGTCCTCAATTGTAAAATCAATCAATAAATATTTGTTAAGTGATTACAGTGGGCCAGGCACACTGTATTAAGTGTGGATTGAATTAGATGGCCTCTGAGGATCTTTTCAATTCGAGATTTATGGTCCTGTGGTCCTGTGATGCTATATATAAAGGGCACCAGAGTCTAATTAAACACTTGTG